TACTACCACACCACCCCCAGTACTACCACTATACCTCACCACACTACTACTACTTCTTCCACCAGCACTACTACACCACTACACTACTATACCTCCACCACCAACCACTACTACTACCCCACCACGACTACTTACCACCCCACCACTACTACTACACCCCACTTATACTACTGCTACTACTACCACCACTACCACCACCACCACCCACCACCACCACTACTACTATACTATACTACTATACTACTGCCACCACTTCTACTAACACCACCTCTACTACTACCCCACCACTACTTCTTACTACCCACAACCACCACCACTCACTACTACTATTACTAATACCACCACTACTAATTCCACCACTACTACCTCTACTACTACTACACTACCACTACTACTTACTGCCACCAGACTACTAACACCACCACTACTATACCACACCATACTTCTACTACCACCACCACACACCCACTACTACTACTCCTTACTAATTACCACCACTTACTAATACACCCTACTAATACACCACTACTCCACTATCTACTACTACTACTACCACTACTACTACTACCACACCTCTACTACCAACTACTGTACCACCACCATCATCAGTGTATCACACCACCATCACTACCATCACCACCACTACCACACTGCCACCACTACTACTACTGCCACCCCACTTTCCTGGGAGGTTTCTACATCCACCATCACTACCTCACCACACTACCACCATCACTTCTTATCACCACCACTACCACCACCACATACCACCACCACAAACCACCACCACCACCCCTCTTCCACCACCACCACTACCTCACCAATACCACACCACCACTACCACACTACCACCACCATCACTACACCACCATCACTTCACCACCACCACCACCGCACCACACTACCACCACCACACTACCACCACTACCACCACACCACTACCACCATACCACCACCATCTCTTACCACCACCACTACTTACCGCTTTGTCTTAGTTATGCTTATATAATAATAATAATAATAATAAATAATAATTATATAATATTTATATTGTGTTTACTAATCAACTACAGAGTATACATTAAAATAGTGAAATACAGGCAAAGTATTAGTGTTGTGCTGTGTATGCTGAAATTTGTTATGCCTCATTGTCATCAAATTTGAAGGACAGATAAGTATATACGTAAACATATATAAACACGTATATATGGAAATAAGTCACTTTGACTTTTTGGGGGGCTATCCTAGATAATCTACACATATACTGTCATGAATGATAATTTATGTAACTGTATTTATGTGTACTTGAATCTGAATAAATTTGCTTGCTTACTCCGCTCACACACTGAGGTCCGGGGATCGATCCCCTATACGATTGGAAAAATTAAGACGTGTTTCCGTAAGGCACCTGCTGTCCGTGTTCACCTGTCAGTAAAATAGGTACCTGGGAGTTAGTTGACTGGTGTGGGTCGCATCCTGGGACAAAATTGACTTAATTTGCCGGAAATGCCTTGCATAAACAATGTCTTTTATATAGTAGTATGTAATGATGTCAGCTAGGACTGTATACCTTGTATATGTACTTGTAGAAATAAAGATTTTTATTATTATTATTATTATTATTATTATTATTATTATTATTATTATTATTATTATATTATTATTGTTAGATGGCCACGTGTTAGTGTTGCCAGCCGGAGATTCTCGCTTTATTACCGTAAGTTCCACAAGTCTTAAATACGGTCTTGTTTATTTAATTTCCGAAATTGTATCTTGTTTTATTACACGATTTCTTCCCATTTTTCCAAAGAAATTTAAAGTTATTAATACTTGGTGTGTTTGTGTGCGTGTTAAACCAGGCGGGCTGGTATTATCATGGCTGCAACTTGACACTGCCTCCTCTCATTTCAAGTTTTTTTCCACGATACTGTGGTCGAGCAACACGTGCCGCCACCTCTCACTTCTTCAGGATGTTGTAGTTTATTATCGTCATTCAAACTTCATAAATTTATCTGAAGAAAATCCAGGAATAGTGTTTAAGTTTTTTCATTTATTCAGTTTCTTTTAAACCATTGAATGTGACAAAAGTATAACGAGAGCAGAATAATAATAAATGTTCGTCCTTGGCGTAACTCAGGCAGGTTAGGTTAGGTTATTTAATTATATTGTCCACGATTTTCGATTTGGTTACGAATCACTGAACGGGTTGGGATTGAACCCATGGCTGGTGAGATCTTAAAATGTGTGTGTGTGTGTGTTTAGATCACTGGACTAGCTGGCTCTAATGTGCATAGAAATATACCCAAGTATATTTCTATGCACATAGGTTAGCCCATATCACACTGTTTGAAAACTCTATGCATATAAAGGGCCCCAAAATATGGAATTCATTACCAGTAGATATTAAAGTAACCCAGGCTGAAAATCAATTTAAGACTCTTCTTAAAAGCCACTTAATCACCCTAGACTAAATGCTAAATGCTCAGTACACACTTACTTACCTATGTACTCCCACATCATAACTGAAACAGTCACTTCTATCGAACTTTTATCCATTTTTGACCAGGAATATAATTATATCATTGTTTTTCACAAAAGCATTTTCGAATTTTCTCTCCCAAATATAATATATTCTTTGTCTTATACAAATTTTGATTCATGTATAATTAATATTTCTACTGTACAACTATGAAATAATTACTATCCTACTGTACAACTATGATGTACTCCTTAGTATTAAGTAGACTGTAAGCCAATAATGTTAAGTTGGCCCATAATGCCAAGGCATAATAGAGGCTCTCTTTGCATTTGCTAACCCCCACATATTGTAAATACAATATCTCAATGTACTGTTTGCAAAGACATAAAATAAATAAATAAATAAATTAAATAGCATGGACCCCACTGTGACCAGTGGGGTCAATACTGTGAGTTTTATGACTCGCCTGCCATGGGTTCGAGTCCTACCCATTTTGTAATTTGTTTGCAATAATGTTTTTGCAATTTTGAGTCATGATAGGTTTGGATATTTTTCCTCCAAATTAATTTTATTTTATATTTATACTTTATTAAAAAAAATCTTTCACAGCAACGTAATATTATCCTTGATGTAAAAACCCACTAAGTATTCTACCATAAAACTATATTTCATCGCATAAAGCTACCAAGGAATGACATTAAATTATTATGATATCTCTTAATTAAGCGTTTGGTGTACAGTATATATGGTAGTGAAGTCAGCAGGGCAGTTCACATTATTATTAAAACATTCACGGGGGGAGGCTTTTTTACATGGTTGAATTAACCAACATCCTCTTTTTTTTTTTCTTTTTTTACCTGTGACCTGTTTCGAATTGCAGTCTTCAGACAGCTAGGCAGATTAAAACCAAACAAGTCGGAATGCCCTGACAAGCTGTTTGCAAGGGCTACCCGATGCCCACAGGACCCTGTTAAATCCTCTCCCACGTCACTCTAATGTTCACTCCTTTATTATGTCTTCCACACCTGAGCCACTCGCGTCTTCCTAAACATTTCTAACCTCTCCGATCTAAATTCTTTTTCACCTTGTCCTTCTTCACCAACACAGCTTTTACTAGCTGGGCATTTGGCTATTCCTTTGAAACCTAAAGTATTCCCAACTCTAAATCAGCTGAACTCCCTGCCAACCTTATGTTTTTGTTTCAAGCTTACCTCTCCCTACTAGTGTGCTTCACCCATTGCTCCTGCCTCTGTGAAAGTTCAAGAAGTGTATTTGCCCCCTCCCCCACATGCTACCATTACTTCCCCCACTTGTCTCCCCATACAAATTCCTTCAGTCAGTCAGTTTATTTTCACATGACTATTACAACCCAGGCACAATAAGGCCTGTTATCCTGGGTGTAAAGGGGAGCAAGGAGCAGAACAAACACAGCTAAATGACTTTGAAATATATTTTCCTGCACCAAGAGCGATAACAAGTATTTACACTTATGTACACTATATACAGTTGGGAATGTATGTGTACCGGGCCGCTGGGGCGTTGACCCCGAAACTCTCACAATCGCGCCTCCTACTACCTACAGGCTAAATCACACACGGTCTCCTTAAAGGCCAAGACTCAGCCTGAAGAAGAATGGGACCAACCAAGCTCAACCAGCTCTAGAATGGAAACGACAAGGGTGGACAGGTGGGTGGTGACCACAGCACCTCCATGATTGCCAGCCCACCATCTCATTGGCTGAACCTTGGTACTGATTGAACGATGGGGCCCCATCATTCGACCCTTAGTACTGGTTCACTGGTTGGGGATATAGCCTTTCAGTGAGGGTGTGTACATGCGCCGAATAAAGGTTACGTACTCTTTGCATCCTCATGACATTACATCTCTCACTGAAAGCACCATAGGAAATGCAGATTATTTCGGGGCAAAAACTTAAACCTAACTTACGTCTAGAAGTGACTGTACTATTTTATTTACGTGCATGTCACAAGACATAAGGTTTTCACAATAAAATAGACAGTATTGAACTCTTAAAATTTGTCTATGAATACAGATAAAATCCCAATAAGCGCTCCATGGGAATCAAAAACCAATTAGATTATTACTGTATCAAGATTATCCTCTTAATTCAAAATATTATTCTATACGTACAACAATCCTCCTGTAGGAGTGGAATGGTTACCTGTATTATTTCACAATGAAATGATTCAAACAATGTATCCTAGCAAAGGTACCGATGAGAAAATTAGATTATGTACAGTATTTAAATTATTCAGTAATTTGAAATAAAAATTCAAATAAAAATTACGATAGGAATGAAGCTAGTTACATGAAGTTTTACTAAATTAAGATGACGATATCTTGTTGACCTTAATTTACAATTATTAATTCACCATTATTACTTTATTACAGCAAAACTCGTGACTTGAAGCTAATAATTTTTGTATTTCAACCTAGTAATTCAGTATCCACGATTATTTTTTTTTTTTTTTTAATTTTTATTGTACATTGCACTTTACAGGCGAACACATCGTGACAGTTACGGCGGGGAAATGAGTACTTCATCATCTTTGATTTTCTACTGTCTGGTGTTCCTGGCAGAGATACTAATGTTTGGCCTGCTGAGTCTGGTACTTTTCTGGGTTGTATATTACCGTGGCGGGTTTGCCTGGCGGGAAGACGTCACCAAAGAGTTCAACTATCATCCTGTCCTCATGATATGTGGCTTCGTATTCTTCATGGGTCATGGTAAGTACGGAGTATCTCTAAAAATCAATTCTTTGCACTAATTTATTCGCTGTGTTTCGTGAATAATTATATTTCATTTCGTCATTTCTTTCATAAGACGCCAGGGGCTAAAAAGGATAGGGAAAAGCGCACGGTGATAAGTGGTAAGGACAAAAGTTCTACACAATGAAAGATTGGTCATACGAGTAGAGAGGGCATAGAGGAAGTGAATATATGTGTATACAGTAAACCCTCATAACATGAGTGCTACAGTCCTCAAAAACTAAGGCTGAATAGCATTACATGAAGTGAAGAATATATGGAAAAATAGGAATATGCTCCAGGCACATCCAGATTTGTCAAAGAATGATTTTTTTATTAATGTCCTAGTTAAAAATTAATACAGTGGAATTTATATTCTGGCAGTGACACCTTTCTGAAATGGAAGAGTGCCGAGAGGATTAAGGTGGATGGCTGTGGTTTTTGTGTTGATTTAGATGCACAGCAGTTAGTAGTTGATCAGTATATTGGTGTAGTACTTCAGTATACTGTAATACATCGCTGGTCTGTTTTACTCTGCAGTACTTATAGAGCAGATGATAAAGCATCTTTGCTTGCTCCAGAATCTGCTTCACCACAAGGATTGTGGACTTGCCAGGATTCTTTTCAGTGAAAGATTCTCTTACTTAAGTAAACATATCAAGGATAACACAGCATTGTTATTTTACCACTGAGGAAAATGATAGATGGCTACTTGAGTTTACCTGGAGAGAGTTTCGGGGGTCAACGCCCCCGCGGCCCGGTCTGTGACCAGGCCTCCTGGTGGATCAGCGCTGATCAACCAGGCTGTTGATGCTGGCTGCCCGCAAAACCAAAGGTACGCTGCACAGCCCGGTGTCAGGAATGATTAAGAGCTTGTCCAGTGCCAGCTTGAAGGACTAGATAGGGGTTGTTGGTAATCCCCCTTATGTGTGTGGGAGGCCGTTGCACATCTCGGTCCCCTGACACTTATTGTATGGTCTCTTAACGTGCTGTGACACCCCTGTTTTCATTTGGGGGGATGGTGCACGTCTGCAAGTCTTTTGCTTTCGTATTGCAGTGATTCTTCGTGTGCAAGTTCTGGGTACTAGTCCCCTCTAGGATTTTCCACGTGTATATAATCATGTAATCTCTCCTCCTGCGTTCAGGAATACAGGTTTAGAATACCTCAAGCGCTCCCCAGTAATTGAGGTGTTTTATCTCCGTTATGCGCGACGTGAATACGTTCTCTGTACTTTATCTAGGTCGGCAATTTCACCCTGCCTTGATAGGGCAGATAGAGTGCAGCAATCATTCTGCCTAGATAGAACAAGGACCTGAAGAGCTGTCATCCTCCCACTGGCTTGGCCTCCCCTAGTTTTGAATGGTCATCCTTCTATCCAGCCTGTCATTTTTTCTAGAAGATGCGATTGATACTATGTTATGGTCTTGAAGGTGAGATCCTCCGGACATAATCACTCCCAGGTCTTTGGACGTTGGTGATTTTCGCCTCTATTTTGGGGCCAGAAATTGTTTTGTACTCTGATGAAGATATTAATTTCTCATGTTTACCATATCTGAGTAATTGAAATTTCTATCGTTGAACTTCATAGTGTTTTCTGCAGCCCACTGAAAGATTTGGTTGATGTCCGCCGGAGCCTGGCAGTGCTGCATGGAATACACTGTCATGCAGATTAGGGTGTCATCTGCAAAGGCAGAACGGTGCTGTGGCTGACATCCTTGTCTATGTCGGTTATGGAGGATGAGGAACAAGATGGGAGCTAGTACTGTGCCTTGTGGAACAGTGCTTTTCACGTGGCCTTTTTGTACCTCGGACTTTACTCTGTGACGCACTTCTCTGTGTTCTGTTAGTGAGGAAAATTATAGATCATGACCAACTTTTCCTGTTCTTCCTTTAGCGCGCATTTGTGCGCTATTACGCATGGTCCACACTTGTCGGAAGGCTTTTGCAAAGTCTGTATATATTACATCTGCATTCTTTTTGTCTTCTAGTGCATTTAGGACCTTGTCGTAGTGATCCAGTAGTTGAGACAGACAGGAGCGACCTGTTCTAAACCCATGTTGCCCTGGGTTGTGTAACTGATGGGTTTCTAGATGGGTGGTGATCTTGCTTCTTAGGACCCTTTCAAAGATTTTTATGATATGGGATGTTAGTGCTATTGGTCTGTAGTTCTTTGCTGTTGCTTTACTAAGCCAATGCTGATACTCTTTGAAGTTACTTGTTCTCTCTAGGCTGAAAATTTGCCAAAAAATTTGAGTCTAGACATTTTTTATAGTACCTCATATACATGCTTTTCCTGAGTTTGGCTGTCTACGTACTTTATCTTTAGTGGTTGACAATCAGCAGGAAACCCCCTGACACTAGTACACAACTGTACTCCAGAAATTAACAGATAAACTTGTTGCCCATATAAATAGTACATAAAATAGGTGGAATCAGTTTGACTGGACAATGGAAAACACGTGAGCACTCACACAGACTAAGGTTTGATCTTGGGGAGTTTCTGTGATCTGGAGGGTGTTCCAGTGGTCACCGACCCTGTGGCCAGGCCTCATGGTGGGTCAGGGCATGATCAACCAGGCTGTTACTGCTGGCCGCACACAATCTGGTGTATGAACCACAGCCAAGCTGGTCTGGTACTACTTGAGGTATCGGTCAAGCTCTCTTTTGAAGACAACCAGGGATCTATTGGTAATCCCCATTATGTATGCTGGGAAGCAGTTGAACAGTCTTGGCCTCTGACACCTATTGTTTATCTCTTAGTGTACTCATGGCACCCCCTGCTTATTGGGGAATGTTGCACCACCTGCTGAGTCTTTTGCTTTCATAGGGATTGGTTTCTGTTTGCAGATTTGGGACTATTCACTCTAGGATTTTCCAGTTGTAAATTATGATGTATCTTTCTCGCCTACATTCCAGGGAGTACAGATTCAAATGGTCCTAGTAACTGAGGTGATTGACTGTACGTACTTACACATGCAGTGAAAGTTCTCTATATATTCTCCAGTTCTGCAAGGGGCTGTTAGTGTACAGCAGTATTCCAGCCTAGAGAGAACAAGTGACTTAAAGAGGATCTTCATTGGCTTGGCATCCCATGTTTTAAAGGTTCTCATTATCCATCTTATCATTTTCTTAGTAGATGTGATAATGACACTGCAATCTTTGAAAGGGAGATCCTCTGACATTATCACTCTGAAGTCCTTCACATTAGCTTTTCACTGTATTGTGTGGTTTGAATTTGGTTTTACTCTGATCTAGCTATTATTTCCTCATTTTTCCATAAAGTAATTGAAATTTGTCCTCACTGCGGTTGAACAGGAGATTAAAATCTGGATTGATATCTACATTCATGAGTCAGAAAGTAAGAAGTGTAAAAAGGAAGAAGGTTGATATGTAGATGAGTGAAGGATAGGAGAAATTAACAGGGAAATAATAAAAGGTAAAAATAATTGGTAAAACTACTTACAAAATTAATTATGAGACTAGAAACAATGTCTAGAGTAAAAATTACTTAATAGTAATAGTAACTTATAATATAAAGATTAGGTATCAAATTTAACACTTGATATTGCACAAACTGCCAACAATAGACGGTAGGAGTTCTGAACAATATTATGTATATAGTACTATATTAAACAGTACAGTAACTTGTATTAAATTTAAATAATTATGAATGTCGTTCATAGTAAGCTGATATGATGAAAGTAAAATTTCTAGAATCTTCAGTAAAGTCAAAATTTGGTAATGAGTATTGGATAGTCTATAAATTTGGAGGTTAAAGAATTTAATACAGAGTTTAAAAGCTAGGTCAAGATGCTATGCTCATTGTTACAAAAAAAAAAAATTATGACTAACAATATGACATGATATTGCTAAGAAGGTAACCATTGACAGTACAGTACCTGGATTACCTGGAGAGGGTTTTGGGGGTCAACGACCCTCCAGCTTGGTCTGAGACCAGGCCTTATGGTGGATCAGGGTCTGATCAATCAGGCTGTTACTACTGGCTGCATGCAAACTGATGTATGAACCACAGCCTGGTTGGTCAGATACTGACTAAGTGCCTGTCCAGTGCCTTCTTGAAGACAGGCAGGGGTCTATTGGTAATCCCCCATATGTATGCTGGGAGGCAGTTGAACAGTCTTGGGCCCCAGACACTTATTGTGTTGTCTCAGTGTACTCGTGGCACCCCTGCTTTTCATTGGGGAAATGTTGCATCTTCTGCCTAGTCTTTTGCTTTCATAGGGAGTGATTTTTGTGTACAAGTTTGGTACTAATCCCTCTAGGATTTTCCAAGTGTATATTATCATGTGTCTCTCTCACCTGCACTCCAGGGAATAGAGATTAAGGGCCTTCATCCATTCCCAGTAATTTAGGTGCCTTATCATACATGTGTGCCATGAAGGTTCTTTGTACACTCCAGGTCAGCAACAGTAAAACAGTAAGTTTTTTTTTTAAATAACAATGAAAAACAGTTTCAGATTGAGGGTGCATAACACTGTGGAGGTTAGTGGGTACAAACTGCATCTAAATCTGACTGAAATAGGCGAGCATCACCCAAGATTTATGTTTTATGCTCAGCACCCTCAAATATGCTATTAAATTTTGCGCTAGACATGAGAGAATGGGTATGTGTGTTGAGTGTGCTAAGTATAAAAAAAAAATCCTGTCCCATGCTTTGCTTGATGGAATAAACAAAAGTCTGACTTCATGTTTGCTTTAAAATAGTGACTGAAGCATTTTCTAGGATGCTTTTTTTTTTTTTTACATTTTTATTGATAGTATGGAAGGCATGCTACTGAAATAATATGATTTTGGTCAGTTTCAAGACAGATTGGAAGTAGGTATCTTGAAATAGGGCTCAGAGTAGTGGAAATACAGTGGAACCTCAGTTTTCGTGATTAATCTCTTCTAGAAAGTCTGAAGAAAACTGAATCGTATGAAAACCGAAGCAATATTTCCCATAAGAAATAATATAAAT